TTTGCGCTTTTCCCTTTCTGCTTCTTTTCTCTGTTGAATGCTCTTCACATACCCCGAGAGGTCTTCATCGCTTGTCCCTGTCCCAACGATACGCTCGATCAGTTTTGACCTTAATATGGAGTCGGGCACATCCAGATTTAACTCCCTTGCGATAGCTAGCAACACAGGTTTTCGCAGGGCTTTGAGATTCATGACTACTTTGGGTACTGTTCTCTGTTCCCCGAAAGATTCTTGCCTTGCAGCTAATTAACCCGAACAAGAACCACAGCCCTAGTTCTCTACTTTACCTCAAGTTACCCGTTAACTTAGTCTGCAAAAGCTTCCTTAGGCTCTACACGGAATCCTGTTCTGTCACTTTTAACCTTGCTTCCACCGACAAAAAACAGTTTAAACAAGCTATCTCACAATTATCTGCCTGACACAAGTTATTTCTTAACCCAATTACTAGAACAATTTCACTGTTCACCTTGCTGTCACCCACAGACTATAGCTTAACCAAGCTATCTCACAATCTACCTGATGCTAGTTACATAATGACCAAAACAGCTATTTTCCCAACCAGCTTTTTCTCACACATTAGTAAATGCCTGGTACAGGTTAACAGAGAAAGTCGGCACTCACCCGGCTCGCAGTAATGCCCCCAGCGTCACGCATCTCAGCATTGCCTTCCGGTTGCTTCTCGCAGTCGATGACTTCGGGTCATCGACTGCGAGAGGCAACCGGAAGGCAATGGAAAGTTTTCCATCGAAAAGGAAAGTCGATAAGCTCGGAGCATCTGACCGTTGTCGTCCAATCGCCTCTCAGAGTTGATGAAATTATAGCATATGACTGCTGTCGTCGAGTCAATGCTACCTGGGTTGATTACCCCCCCCCCCCCCCCACTGCCATCCAGTTGTTGAATTGAAAATATACAAAAGTGTTCCATTTATACAGCGCCGCGTTGCCAACCCTAAGCGCATTGTTCACGGCTTTAGCCAATACGGCGCTCGATGGTCTAGGTGCTCCACCAACGAAGGCGGGGAAGGACACCACACAATGCATGCGGAGAGGGCACAGTCTACACGATGCCCAAATATGGTCACAAACGCACTGCACTGACGTTTAGCACACATCACCAGGATATTGCGCACGTCCGATGATCGTAGATGACCTTGGTTTTCAAGAACTCTCTTGGCAGTTGGATGAGGTTCGAAAACCGGCTTTCGGTACACATGCCAAACTTGCCTGACTGCGTTTGGGTAGGAGAATGTACAGGCCTGACAGTTTCTCGTCGGAACATGCCACTTCACCGAGCCGATCCTATTGAGAGAGGGGGAAGGAGGAGTGGTCGACTAATCCCTTGTCGTCGAGGCGTGCTCCCGCAAAGGCTGCTGAATATAGTGCCTTTTCCCTTTCTTTCAAACACATTCAATCCATCGTTATATGCTAGAAGGTGAGCTGCGAATTTTCGGGACTTTGCTTCTCCTCCCAAGGAGCAGCCACAACCGGTTTGGGTTTTAACTTTCAGCCCAAATTGCAAATACCACGCTGGTTTCGGTCTCTCCAGATCCACGGTGACTTCAAAAATGGCCAAGCTGCAACTTTGTTTGCCTTGAAAGTGTTGCATAGAGTCGAGCTCACAATGGCCTTTCTTGGCTTGTGCGTTTTCTTTGCGTGAACCGGTCCTCGAACCCCTTGTTCACCTTTTACTGACAGGAAATCAACCCGTCTTGACGGCACATCCTTGCTTGGAGTGCGTCGAAATATTTTTGTCCAGTCCACAGAGGCCGAAAGACTTCAATAATGATGACAGTCATAACAAGTGGCATACTGGCGACATTTCCCTTCAAGGTGATTTGCTGCTGTTCAGGGGCACCCAGAACCACTGCCATAGTTCCCCCCTTCGCTCTGCCTCGGTCACGATGGTGTAAAACATGGGTCTCCTGCCAGTTACGTGGTTGCCGCCCTTCTTTTCTTTGCCGAAACGAAATATGCACAGGCGTGGCGGACTTTGTGGCGCACAAGTACTGGGGCCTTGAGAGCTGGTAGTAGGGGTCTACTTAATAGGGGAAAAATGTAGCACAAAACATTGCTTAGAAGTGAGATGAACCACTCTGAGCATTCCTGAACCGTGATTCAGAGTGCTACAGTTACTGGTGAGCAAAACTATAAACACGAACTCCCGTAGAGCAGTGCGAAAATACAACGCGGCGAGCCTCATAGAAATATATCACAGTGAAGCGTGTGCTTGCAGGGGCATTGACTAGATGGTGGTGCTCATACTAAGACTGACTTGCCGCTTATGTAGCCAAGCGACCGCGACTTTGGGGGTAAGATGGCAGACGAGCCTACCAAGGCTCCAACACTAATGTCTTCTTTGAAGTATCAGTACCTGACAATTAATGTCCATGCACCCCCACATACTAATGGTCACCACACAGAGGTGAAGCGTCAACCTTCTCCAGCACCATCATGATTGCTTCGACAGAGCCACAGTAAATCCTCACCTCCGACGGCATTGCACGGCGATGAATCGATGTCGTTAGAACATACGCTGCTACTGGGAGCAACCTTAATTTACCTTAATTTCTTGGTAAGTAGGGCACTGTTGTTGATAATATTGTCATTTTAGATGTTTTCGTTCATTGAGGTTTCACTCTGATGTAAACTGCTATTTGACTTTAGTGCCCCTTTAAGGAGAACTCTGCACATGCATATGATAAATGTACAGTATCCTAGACGTGAATTTGCATTCGCAGGAGCAGCGCACGCGCCGATGTTGATTTATGGTGCATACCATTGTAGTTACTTTGGTCACTGCTATGTCAATTACTTCTAATATAGTCAAAACTGTGGCGGGTGAAGCACAATCAGTATTTTAATGTCCTCTCATCTTTGAAAACGTACGAACCCCCTCCAGTTGTGAATGTACGTGTTGTTCTGTGCCGAGCTTGGACAGTTTTAAGCCATAAGATCAAGCAACACTGTGCACCAGCCTTGGACGCGTGAGTGTTGACGAGGTCGATGGATGCCAGTGGTTGCATGCCCTTTTCCTCCACGGGCGCGACTAAACGCTGTTGACGCATAGGCACGTGCATACGCATGCCAGTGATTGGCCCCTAAGCGCGCTCACCCACAGCTGTTGATATGGGAAAAGAAGTGAGAGCGAAGAGATAAGACCTGCCGGCGTGTGGACACCGCGAACAATGCCGGATACCTGACACATCTGGACTAAGAAATGCATTCACATTAAAAAAATTACAACATTGTCACTTTACTTTCGCATAAAGTCGATTCACAAGATATGTGTCATCTACCAAATTTTCAATTAACACTATTACAGTGTAAATTAATTAGCTTAGTTATGTGTGTCTAATTCAGTTTTACAATGCTTAACATGGATTATGAAGCTTGCGTATGGTTATATTGGTTTAGCTCGGCACAGCTGTAGATTGATGCCACCACTGCGCCAGCGTGACCATGATTTCTTCTCCACGTTGTGAACTGGACAAATGGCGGTCATATCATTGGCGCTGTACAAAAGAAAAAAAAAAAGCTATATATTTGGCTGCCTTTTCAAAACTATCCACGCAGTTGGGCAGCATTTCTTTTTTCTGATGTGTATAACGAATAGTTGCTGTAAAATCGTGGAACGACCAGCCTCTTTAACATCACAGGTCACTGGTCTTATCTTTGCACCGTTGACAATGAACGGTGGCAGACTAAGCCACCTCTTGAACTGTTTTAAAGACGATAGTCTTTCTTGGGGACCTTCGACAGAAAAATTTTTGTCTGTTTGTCTGTCCATACATTGTTTGTTTGTCCACTTTAAGGATACCTCAAACGGCACCAAACAGTCAACCCCATCCGCAGCGCCCACCAACATTGCTCAAGGTATAGCAATCATATTTGTGTGATTGTCAATTAAAAAAGCAATTAGTGCACATATCTGAGGCACCATAACAACACGTCTATATTTTGTATGTCTGCCTTTATACAAGTAGAGGCACACACAATTACCTCTAAGGACTGTAGCGTTTATCGCACTGCGCTGACAGTGCAACGTGATGCTCAAGAAGGTGTTTCCAACGCTTTGATACGACGACACGGTGGTGGCACCTGCCCGTCACTTTGCATTCTACACCTTATCACCTCCGAGACTGGCGTGCATCTTTCTCCGCGGTCGCGCATGCCTTCGTTTTCGAAGATAATTGCCAGATGGCACTCTGGTCTAACGTGCCTAGATGCGCTTGTTCGCCTCCGCTACACGCTCGAGGCACTCTAACGCAGCGCCTTCAGAATACCATTCACCGATTGTCTTGCGCAGAACATCAAATAAACGTTTTGTTCACTCTCTCCAGCACAAAACTATCGTCTTTCGATGACATTTACAGTGTAACATGAATATTTGGGCAAAATTTTTTTATTTTGTTTCTTTCTAGCCACAACGCATTTCTTGACTTTGCCCGAGATTCAAATATATAAACGTTATGCGGGAAGTGATGGAAGACACGCGAATTGAACGGTGATGTCCATGAATACTGGATCTGATGCACAAATTCATAACTGTTAAGTATCCCTTGTGGACTGCAGTCAGGGCAATGATATTTATGTGAATAACTGCCTGCATGTGTACTACTTCTGTAGAATAATACCTCAAACTGTACATCATCCCATCAAATATCAATGCTCAAGCAAACATGTAAAAGCCTTCATGAAATCAGTTATGAAAGAAAACGAAAAGTAATGCTGTACCAGTGTGCTTGTCGTACCGAGTGACACATGCCAGAGCACAATATCTTTAACAATAGTAAAATATTTGTTCAAAAAGAAGTGTCAGGCAGTCCTAACGTATCACAAAATATGACAGTGTCAGGCAATGCTTTTCTTTGTGTTGGCATTAAGTATATTCTAGGTACACTCAAGATACAGCTACTGGCAAGACAATATAAAAAGGCAGCACACATTCTCTTGATTAGTAATATTCACCTTGATCAGTGTGAAACAATACCCAAATCTCATTTAGCTGCTGAAATAAATGACTTTATTATAGTATATAAAAAGCGAGCGCCTCATAGTCACTGAGATCGCTAACACCTGGAGTGTCACCACCGGTGGCAGGCACAATCGGGGAAAGCAGTTCTCGAAGTTCTCCTTCAACGTCCTTGCTGAGCCAAGCGCTGTACACTCCAGATAGAAGCTGAGAATAGAACAAAAACGAGTCGCTCACAGGAAAGCATTAATCTTGAGAGGAAATTCACTGGATCAAACATCAAGTAGAACGAAATGGTGAGGTGATATGATTTTTGTTCGTGTTATTTTCTTAGCACCCTCCACTAATTGTGAAGTGGTTGATTAGCAGTTCAAAGTCAAAAGTGTTACACTTATCAGTGGCGAGGCTGCGTGAGACACTGTCGAGCAAAACAGTAGCACTCCAAAGCACGAGTCGAGTCAAGGCGATGCTATTTAATGGAGGCACTCTCCTACCCAGTTAAATAAAAAAAACTGTACTCATAATACAGCTTCTGTTTCATTTGGCAAGACATTTGGTGATAAAATAATTAATATATCGACTTGGCTGCTTTAATCCGGCTTAGTTCTTGGTCCTTTTCAAATCGACCCAACGGCAACGTTGGTGGTGCTTGTCAAAGTGAGAGCCCTTTGCTTTGTACTTACCAGCTATTGCCATGCATTTTTCAGCTCCTTCATTCCCCACAAGGAGACCTACTTCCTTTAGTTTTCAGTAAAGATGCTTCGCAAGTACAGGGATGCCACCGAGGTCTTTCAATTTGGAGTAAACTTTAGAGCAGCAAAATGTTCATTTTGGAGCACTTAGGAGCTACAAAACTTTTCATTTGGAGCACTTTGGAGCAGTACAATTTTCTATTTTGGAGCACTTTAGAGCAGCAAAACTTTCCTTTTCGTGAGATCTGGAGCAGAAAAATTTTCATTTTGGAGTAATCTAGAGCAGCTATCTTTATATCCTGGAGGAGAAGCAACTTGCATTTACATTCAAGGACATGAAAAACTATTTTCTGAGGCTTTTGTGAAGAGTTAAAAATATTTTGATTTATTGAAATATTTAGATTCATGTTTAGATTATTAGAAATATTTATATTCATATTTAGAGTCAATCACCTTAGAAACACTCCCTATTTTAGTTGATGCAAGAATAATGGCGTCATGCTGCTAGCATTCTGAAAAAACTTGCTCAGTGATTACTTCCTTAGCAATAAACAGAATACTGGTTATTTACAGAATACAATAGAAATATACCTATGTGGCTATCAGCAGATATGGTAGACAAACGCTGTGACGTACAACGCTAGAGACTCACACAGTCCCAAGAGCATTTCCCCAATATGATTTCAAGAATAAAAAAAGGTTGTTTTTCTTCAGAACTGATTAGACTGCTGGGCACAATATGATGTCATTAAGCTAGTTTCAGAAAACCAACCTCCTCCGGCACTTATGTCTGTGCTGAAGCTACGCAATTTAAGGAACTTCATTTTCTTTCTTCAGCAATATTTTATGTACCAAAAAACCCCTACCATGTCCTCCATAAAGCAGTGCATAAAGAAAAATCTCACAGGGTACTTTATGCATATGCCTCAGACAACTCGAAGGCAAGATCGATTTTGTTATTAATTGGATAGCAATTATATGGACAGCCTCGACTGGTTTTTGCCATTGCCACGGGTGTAGCCGGAAATCAAAAAAATAATGGGGGGAGGGGGGCATCGCACCGTGATCTAAAGAGGGAGGGCAGGCAAAAGGTCATTTTGCGCTATATATGCCATGGCAAAGAAAGAGAGAAAGGAAGGCCGGGAGGTTAACCAGATATTGGTATCCGGTTTGCTACCCAGCACTGGGGGTGGACAAATAGGGGCAAGAAAGAGAGGGCAGAGAGAGAAAGAGAGGAAAAGAGAAGGCACGTGCTCTCATGAGAAAAAAAAACGTACACAGGACGGGCATTGTGGCTACAACCGTTCAGAAAGGCCGGTTGATTGTAAAAAGTGCAGTAGCACTTTCAGGGCCTTATTCTGCGAAGTTGTATCTTGTTGATATTGTAAAATTATTTCCTCTGACAGAGTAGATTATCTAATTTGCTGAGTTCCTTGCAAAGGCGTATTCAGTGTTTACTATACTCTAGGCAGTCACAAAGGATATGTCAGATAACTTTTTCGTTGCCACAGTGGTCAGAGGCTGTGGTGTCGGTCATCCCAATGCAAAAAGCGTAGGCATTGGTAAACGCAACGCCGAACCACAGCCTACATAAAAGGATTTCGTCTGCTCGGCAAAGTCTCGACAGGACTTGAAGACCTAACGTAGGGTCAAGACAAAAAATTCGGAGGTGGGGGGTGCACATTCCTGATGTGCCCCCCCCCCCCCCCGGCTATGCCACTGGCCGTCATGTTTTGTGTAATGTCTCAATCGATAACATCCACTGGCATATCATATTTTACACACGGGTAGTAAAAGCGCGTGAGCGGGGGCGACTAACGAGGCTAAAGCAGAGAGATAAGAAGAGCCGACCTATCTTCATTGCACTGAGAGCGGATGGGATAACATCACCCCGCATGCCAGGCCTCCCATCGATTATTACTCAAGCAGAGAGAAATGCACCTTTGACTTTAAGGGTGTGATCGCTGACGCACACACTATTTACAGATAGTATACCTTTCTACCTTGTACTATCAATGCGAACAGACCGTGCGAAAAGTGGTTTGCTTTCTAAAGCGTCATTGAGCCTTGATTGCAAGGGGGCCACATACCATCCTCGTGCCATTTCGGAGGTACAATCATACGTGCCGTTCGTGCTGTACAAGTAGAATAACACTGGTCTACAGGAGCGAAGCACATGCCTGTCGACACTGTTGTTGGCTGCAGCTTCTATCTCATGTTAGCTACAAGCTACCATTGATGCTTACATTATAGCACAAGGGTCTAACACACAGAATGACCATGTTTGGTAGCATTACAGCGTGTCTCTACATATTTATGAAGAAAACACCAGCTGGAGCGGCCGGCTGGGCGCTTTAGACAAGTCTGATTCCATCTGTACGTGCATTGGCCTGAATGAGATGTTTTGGGGGTCTCCAGTCACCCAAGTCGTAGACATCAAACACCGCCCGTTACAACAACAGCTGAAACAACATTCTTTATGGGCTACACTAGCGCAAAACGTGTTGAGCATGCAGTCTCGCGGTGTGGTTACAAGCATTAAAAATGAAAAAAAAATTAATATCAAAAGACCTGTGTCCCCAACAAAGTGAACGCAAAAAAAACTACGAAAAGAAAGCGCCTTTGCAGAAATTCCTCGATTACATTTGAGGCCACCTAGACTATGCGCATTATCCTGATCGAAATGTTGTGTGCTGAATGTAGCAATCGTTCGATTTAATGGTCCGCCACCTATATCCAAAGACATTGCAATCAAATCGTGAACCACGGTAAGAGTTTTAAGAGCACCACCCCTGCTCCCTTTTCTTCAAGTAGAGATAGGGCAAAACGTTACGTTAATTTCGTACAAAACAGTACTTTGATCACTTGAAAACGCCACTGTAAAACAACCAACGCTGATTAGACCTAGCCTATATGGTTTGGCATGTTGTCGTGGTAAGATTGTAAAGAATAGCATGATGATTGGGTGTCGAAAAGATTGCACTCAGACACTGATTCGAGAGTAGTGCGTGTGATATGAACTTTAGGTTTGTGGCTGGGAAATCAATGGTAACAAAGGTCCGCTGAGCTTGTGCGTGTCTGCATAGTGGCAGCAAAGGAAAAAGCTCACGTCGGAAAGCCAAAAAGCTTTTAAAGTTGCAGACGAGCTAACAAGTGCGATAACGACGACTCTTTCCTGACAGACAACTCAAAACTCATTTGAAGCATACGTGGCCGCAGGTTGCACATGGAGCGCGTGCGGCCGGAGCTATGCTGGCACCAGAGCAAAGGTTACTCCGACACCAAAGAAACCACCCTTCTGCTTAACTCGGCGCCCGCGCAGCACTGTCGTGGTCTTCTAGGAGCAAAACTCCTTAAAGGGACACTAAAGCCAAATGACAATTTACGTCGGTAGAAAGCTCAATGTATGACAACAACTAGGAAGACAATATTATTAATAGCAGTACCCTGCTTATCGAGAAATTAAGGTAAATGCACAAGAAGACATGCACTGCAGTAGGAAATTCTCAAAATGATGCCGATGACGTGAGATGAACCACCTACAAAAATCACTAGTAATCGATCTAGCTGCACTAAATAAAGAACTTTCCGTGCATCAAGAGACAAAATAAAATGCTGTTTGTTTGTTTCTGTTTGATCCATGGAAAAAAAAACTGCCGGATGTTACTAAGAGCAATGGCGTGTGTGGTTCAAACATTCAATTTACGAGTGGTTGTACTGGACAGGTCGTGCCATGTAGCGGGGCCCAGTTGAACCAAAACCCACCTGCCATCTTGGAGCCTATGAAGGAAATCGATCAATGGCCATTGTTGCTGCTGTGGCTCCCCCTGCTTTCGCTTTGCTGCTAGTAGTGTCAGCGGCTGCGCAGCGAAACCGGGTAACGTTGTGCACGGCAACAGTGACGCGAGACGTTCCGCTTCTTGAGGCAGATAATTTGAAGTGTGCTAATCCAATGCAGAACACTAAAACGTGCTTTTATTTAAAAATAAGCCTCTCCTTAGTACGAAAGTAACAATACGAGGTTTTTGAAGTGCTATTTCAAATATCAACATCGAATTAATAAGTGCCTTTAGTGTCCCTTTAAGGCGTAGGCAAGTCTGGCATTCTCGTAGCCACCTCCTGTTCTCAGAGTGTTCACTAGATAGCGCAACAACATTCGCTCCATTAAAAATGCGTAGCAGCGCATAGTGTAATGAACACGAGATGGCGCTACAGCGCTCACGCCATTCAGACGCATGGAAGAATATAGTGTGATGGGGGATCACTAGATGGTGCGTATCTCATTAAATGGGGGAATCGTTCGAGATGGTTGTATGCAGGTTAATGTGCTTCTGCTTTCTCTGGCTGTTTGGGCCCTGTGACTATGAGCGACAAAGCGGCGGAACGTAGAGCTCTAAAAGCAGCTGCACTGTGCGCTCGCTGACAAGACCTGGAGGTGCGAGCCCGCAATACCAAAGCAGCCCGCAATCGTCGACCAGCGGATCCTGAGCCGAGAGCCTGCAAAGCCGAAGCTGCAAGGAATCGGTGGCAAGCGGATCCCGAGCCTAGAGCCCGCGAAGCGGCAATGAAACGCGCGCACAGACAGGCGGGTCCTGAGGTGGTGCGAGCATGGGAAGTAGCGGCCAAGCACCTCAAGCGATTGCTGCGTGTTCTCATGTGATAGGAGACCGCGTTCGCTCATGCATTAAAATCCGTTCTATCTTGGTACCTTTCCCCTTTCGCTGGCAGTCTGTATGCTTTGAGTATGAGCGATGAAGACAAGGCGGCGGAGCGGAGGGCTCGGGAAAACGGCTGCAACACGTGCTCGCCGTCTGTACATGATGATCGAATGAGAAGATTTACAGAGGATTCACGGTTTACCTATGTACTTACAGAGCTCTGCTCACTCATCATCATTCACTCTAAATATGCTGTGATTTTTTTCCCTCGTTTCCATTAACGTAAGAGAACGTCGACTTGCAACCGTGCAAATACGGTACAAAATTAACAAACGATCATGGCAAAGTTCGCGGTGCGTCTATTATGAGCTTAAAAAAAAACTGATTTCTCACAACCAAACTGAGGGTGCACCTATTATGCGAGTAAATATGGTACATTGCCTCAAAACAGCTTAGATGCATACTGTTTCCTACAGCACAACAAAAATAAATGCGATCATAGGGCTTTCGCTTACCATATTTTATGTTTTTACATAAACATAATACAGAATGTGTCTGCATTAGCAATTTATTTTCTGAATAACTAATTTTTGCCATGTAGTGCACCCCATGGGCAATGTTAAGCTTGATGGTTCAGCGAACTGGGAGCACGGGGGTAAACACAGACACAAAGCAAAGAAGAGGCACACAGCATGAGTGTTCAACTAACAACTGGTTTATTATCACGTTTGAAGGACATATAAATACACAAGGGTGCGCATGTCAACAGAAATAAGACGATAGTGTGAGCAGCAAGCCTGGCGTTCATTCGAAGCACTTGTCTACGAATTATCAATATAGTTAAACTCACAGTCAAGTAGTGATAATGATGGATGGCTAATACAATGATTCTTATTTCTAGAAATGTGATATGCTTCGGAAATTTCACGCGTGGTTTGAAGCGGATGCGGGAAAAGTGCACTTGTTTTTTCAAACAACGGTTGAAAAAACAAGTGCACTTTCTGGCATCTGGTTGAGGAAGCATTGGAACGAAATTTCAAACCTGTTTCTGTGAAAAGCAATGCCGTGAAAGCCAGAGCGATCTCGCTGTTAAATAGAGTGAACCTGGAAAAGCTCGGCTCTTCTGTGGCAAAGGCCAAATCTGCAGAGTTGGGAATCTTTTTCTTCCATAAAGACGCACAAACCAGAAATGCCGTTACGTGTGATCATCTCTGAGAGGGACTCGTGGCAGCTGGATGTGTCGAAATCTCTGCAGAAGCATTTATCTGTGTTGCACGTGAACGACCCTTTCTATGTCAAAAACTAGGATTTTTGATTGAATACTTAAACACCAGTGAGTTTTAAAAGGTAACAGCATTTAGTGTTGATGTAGTCGACCTATACTATTCTTTGCTGTAATATCGGTTGCTAAACTGCGTTGAGCAGTGCATTGTGGAAGACAATGACGAACTATCATTTAGGAATCATACAAGAGTGTCAACTGAGTCCTTTTTAGAAATTTTGATGTTTTACCTAAAGTCGACCTTCATCGTATGGCTTGGAAACCTGTGCATGCAGAAATCGGATGTGTGTATAGGTTCCAGTGTGGCTCCTGCATTAAGCAACATTTTCCTAGGAAAGGTGGACACCGCCCTAAGCAATAAACTACCGTCTGGCATCAAAATCTTCAGATATGTTGATGACTATCTTATTTTTGTAAAGAAATGTTCTGCAGTGAACTATGACGCTATTTTGGCATGCTTCGAGACGGAGGGCATGGGCACCTGTATTAAATTACTCCTGTTTAAACCTGTTTTAAATTATTCATCCGGCCATTCCAAGCTTGTAAAACGAGGAATTGTTCTGTCATGCCTTCGTTCAGCGCTCGAAAAAAGCTCTATCCACATGGTGCATTATGGTTTCTTAGCGCAGCTAGGACGCTTATTCGAGGCTGCGTACTTGCCGTATCTAATCACATCGGTGTGTGAGAGGCTTCTGCGGATGGTGAGAAACGGTGATAAACGTGCGTCTGTTTCTGAAGACTGCAATAAAGAAAACAAACGCGTGGCCGTCATCCCTTACATTCATAAATTGGCGCATGGACTGAAAAGTGTGGGGAACAGGTTTGGTGTGTGCGTTGTTTTTTGTGCACCCAATAAATTAGGCCGCATTTGTGCCATGATGCATAGGAAGATGCAGGGCACGTCAAAAACAGAGGATGTTCACAGAAACATGCAAAAAGAATTCGTTAAGTGTTTTTTAGGAGTGGTGTATAGCATACCGCTAACGTGCGGTCGCGTGTACATCGGCCAGACCGGGCGATGTTTGAACATACGCCTCAGGGAGCATTTGAGTTCCTTGAAAAATACTCCTTTTTCCGTTTTAGCTTCACATTGCAATTCCTGAAAGTGTCAACTGTTGTTTGAAAAAACATGTGTACTTTTCCGGCATCTGCTTCAAATCACGCATGAAATTTCCGAAGCATATCACATTTCTAGAAATAAGAATCATTGTATTAGCCATCCATCATTATCACTACATAACTGTGAGTTTAACTATATTGATAATTCGTAGACAAGTGCTTCGAATGAACGCCACGCTTGCTGCTCACACTATCATCTTATCTCTGTTGACATGCGCACCCTTGTGTATTTATATGTCCTTCAAACGTGATAATAAACCAGTTGTTAGTTGAGCGCTCATGCTGTGTGCCTCTTCTTTGCTTTGTGTCTGTGTTTACTCCTGCGCTCCCACTTCGCTGAACCATCATGAATTACACACTAGCCCACCTTTCCATTCTGTTGCAATGTTAAGCTTGAATTTAGGATTTTACACACATGCTGATGCTGATGAAAGAGCTCTGTAGTATGCTAAAACTCACGATTGAAGATGCAAGTGCAGGTGCTACATTGCCTCAAAAAAGAAGGTGAGAAGGTGTTGTTACCTTGGCAGCGACAGCCTGTGCCTGGCTGCTGCCATCCTTGTGAAGCCTTTCAACAATCAGTGGTAGGTGGCTTGCCAGCAACTCACTCACAATGTCACCTTGAAGCATCTATTGCAACACAAGTTTATGCAGCATTACACAAGTTGAATGTGAAAACAGTGAATAGAGAAGGACTGCTAAAGAACACACACAGCTCTGGTTTTCAGGAACATTTTATTGCAAAGCAACGGTATGTATGTTTGGGATCGATGAATATTGCAACACTTCGAATATCCAAACAAACAGTACAGTATTTAAAATTTCAAGTATTCTAAATGACTAATTATGTGTATATTTGAGTACATTCAACACTCTATAATGAAGGTTTCATCGCAGCATGAGAGTGATATGCCGTGAAACCACCCATCAAGCTGAAATCCACACTACCATGGTGGCACTTCAAGGTCAGATGTGTATATTACCGTCACCTCAATTATTTTAGAACACAGGTGATATTATGCTTGAGTTTTTGCGTCTGTCATAGATAGAAAATGGTCATCATCATGAAATAGCATCTACTCTTTTTGTCCTCTTCTGCTTTGCTCCCAGAGCACTCGCATGAATTTGTCCAGTGTGAGACGCAATAACTTTGATGGGCGACAGAACGAGTACAGAGAAAAGAGATACAAAGCATTATTCGAAGATCGCAGGTTCGGTTCCTGCCCGTGGTAAGTTATTTTTTCATCCGCTTTTGTTTCTTCAAACTTACATTGCAAGTACTTCTAATAATATCCCCTATACTCTCTCTGGCATTATTGTCTGTTAGGTTTTATTATTATTGTACTTAACGAAGAAAGCGAGCACTTAAGATTACACACCTTTCCTTCATTCAAAGCGAAGTGAAGAAATTTTTGGTGAGATCAGATCGAAACCCACGCACACATGATCTGACTGCAAGCGTAGTAATCACTCGGCTATTCAGGCACACTAGTAGAGCCTAGCATAGCCTTGGGTATAGTATAGTAAGAGATAGAAAGGAAACAGGTGAAAGAATAAAAGGCTAGCCAATTCAGGACTGGCTACATGCCCACAAACTACGCTATGAGTCGGCCTCCCAAGACTGAATACAAGAAAAGAAGTCTACATTTAAAAACTCATCTTTTTTGTTAGACACAAAACTAATACAATAAAAGTCGCACAATAACTCAAGTAAATGTTTTAGGTTTACACAAGTAGTCCAGCAGCAACAATCATTACTTCCACATTTTCCATACATGTGTGAAGCTACACAGTGCTAAATAATTATTTCGCACACTTAGCAAAAAGTGCTTTATGCAGTTTCATGCAGTGAATACAAGAGACAGCACAGGCATAGATATTCGTGCTAAATAATTATTTCGCACACTTAGCAAAAAGTGCTTTATGCAGTTTCATGCAGTGAATACAGCACAGGCATAGATATTCTGCATCGAGAAAGCAACCGCATTAACCGTCTCAATGTCAGTGGACAACTTTTTCAGTAAATTTACCAGTCTTCTGAGCTCAATCACAACTGCCATGCTTACATTCCATTTTAATGTTATCTTTCGACTGTCAAGATAAAGTCACTACTATAAAATACCTTTCACAGCACATTTCAGATATGATTTCCAAAAGCATTTTTATGAAACGAGCATAGTAGTTCTCACCCCATTCAGCAGCCTGGCACAGTCTTCATCCGAAGAGCTGAGCAGTAGCACATGAATTAACCACGGGTGGGCTGATAGGTCGTTTAGGTAACCTTCTGAAAGCATTCCACAAGTTGAAAAGCATTTAGCTAGAAGCAATGTCAACTCGACCTAGCACACAAGACAATGAGTATAGCGATCTGCTGGTTGAAATTATGCCTTAGGCAACAGATGAGAAACAGGTAATTATGTAGCCACAGACATCCTACTGCCACGCACGCTTCTTATTTTCACTCTTAATTCATTCAGTTTTCGCGCACAAAGCCTGTCAAGAATGCTCAGTGCGAACTGCCCCGCATTGTTCAAGAAAGTTCGCGAATATTGTAGATTGTTCTGTTAAGATAGCACACGAGACGTGTGGTCACTCACCACCTTCCCAGCAGGAGAGCGACCACATCACATCCCTGACTATCTCGCAGGAGCGCAAGAGATGCCCTGACGATCTCTCCGATCTCCTTTGCAAGGCCGTTACGCCTTGCCGCACCACAGCCAATAAGCCAGATCTGCTCGCGGCCGATCTCTGAGCTTTTACTTGTAAAACTAAGGGCAGCAACTGATGGAGGTTTGGTTGCTGTATGACAAACTACCAAAGACCCTCCACCGCCAAAGACGACTACGTAAAAAAACCTCAAGAACCTGCTGCAATTCGTACGCAGCTGCGTCAAAACTTTGCGGCCAAAAGATTTGATGCCGCAATGTAGAAGCAGCGGAGCAAATTGACAGAGCCATGATTCACCGCCACGACCCAACTTCAATGCACGACGACGAACAAGCGTCGTCAATGTTCTCATCGACGGTCACAACGTCATCGCTCTCATCGACACTTATGAACACTATTCTGTAATCAGTGTGCCGTTTCCCACAAAGCTGAAGAAAGTAAAGACCCCTTGAAATGGTCCTAAAATCTGAACTGCTGAAGGCGACCTAATGACGCCGGTTGGAGTTTGCACAGCCAGAGGAAAAAACAAGAAGCAAACTTATCCGGCGAGTTTCGTTATCTTACAGAACTTCTCCAGGGACGTGATACTAAAAATGAATGTCCTAAGTCACCATGGTGTCACTATCGACCTGAAGTCTGAATTAGTCTGTACCCTCTCTCACGTACAGACCAGGCCCTAGATCAACACCACAGCGCGAGGCACTTTTTGTCGATGAGCCTCAATAGCGGCTATTGATAAATTGAGGTCGAGATAGATAGAGAGAAAACTGCCTTCACTACACCAGATGGCCTCTTCAAGCTCAAGGCCATGCCATTTGGTTTTTTCTCGGCGCCCGTGATGTCCCAGCATGTTATGGACGCCGTGCTGGCTGGATTGAAATGCCAGACTTGCTTTGTGTCAAGTGGACAACGTGTTTTCCTTGAGCATCGACTAGCCTCTCCAGCATTTTGAAGCAGTACTTCAAGCTATCAAGATTTCTCAACTCATCCTGAACCCAGAAAAGTGCCTCTTCACGTACGAGGAGCCCTTGTTCCTGGGACACGTGATAAGCAATTCTGGAGTCCACCTAGACTCACAGAAAACAGACACCATCACCGATATTCCACCGCCTATTGACAAGAAGTCTGTATGCCGATTGCTTAGATTGTGCGCCTATTGCAAGTGTTTCGTAAAAATATTTTCACAGCTCCTTGAGTCGCTAACTCACCTCACGAAAACCGATTCCGTATTTAGATGAGAAAATGGCATAAAAAGAAGCATTTCAGGAACTTGAACGACGCCTGTAGACATCACCCCTACTTCTGCACTTTAACGAATACACCGAAACAAAAGTACACACTTTCACAAGCAGCGTAGGACTCGGGGCCATCCTTGCGCAAAGAACTGACTGCCTGGAAAGGGTTATCAGTTATGCTAGCCAGTCGCTATCCAAGGCCGAGGCCAACTATTCCACAACAGAAAAAAAGTGCCTTGCCATCATCCAGGCAGCGTGAAAGTTTCGCTATTAATTTTACGGCAGGCCTTTCAAAGTTGTGAGCAACCAACATGCCTTGTGTTGGCTAGCTAACCTCGCACGGTTGAACCTAAGGCTTTGAGTAATCAACATTATCGTCGTGTACAAGTTCGAAAAGAAACACTCTGATGCCGATTGCCTGTCTCACGCCCCCATCAATTCACCCCCTCAGGACGACCAGGATGATGAGTGCTTAGCCATCTTGGGAACCACCAGTGCTGATGACTCGCCGAGCTGGAACTGAGAGGCCTAGTGGAATACTTGAGGGCCGCACCACCATCGCCCCAAAAGTATTCAAGCCAGGACTGGCATTGTTTTTCGTGAAAAACAACGTCCTCGTGAAGAACTTCTCTCCACCCCGGGCTAGCTACCTAACCATCGTACCTTCAGCAATACCACCAGAAATATTGCAGGCCATGCACGACCCCCCAACAGTTAGCCGCCTCGGTTTTTCCCGCACGCTCGTGAGGATACAAGAGAAGTAGTACTAGCCACGCCTTTTCGCCAAGGTCCCTCGTTACATGAAAACATTCCAGGACTACAAACGACGAAAGACATTGCTGACTAGGCCAACCAGACTTCTACAACCCATCAAGCCATTTCACCAGCTGTTCCAGCAAATCGGCATGGATTTATTGAGGCCGTTCCCGACGTCGCAATCCAGAAAAAGCTGGATCGTCGTAGCTACTGGATCGTCATAGCTACGCCGAGACAAAGGCCCTGCCCAAAGGCAGTGCCGCCAAGGTTGCAAAGTTCATCATCGATAACACTGTCCTGCATCACGAACTCCAAAGGTCCTCATTACTGACAGAGGTACGGCTTTTACAGCTGATCTAATTCAAGCAATCCTGAGGTGTAGGCAGAGATGTCACCGCCGGAACACAGACCAGTGATTTCACCAAGCATCTTAATAAGGCCATCGCCGATATGCGGGCCATGTACGTCGAACTCAAAACGTGGGATGCAATTTTTTCATATGCGACCTTCGCGTATACTAACGACGAAAATGACGCCATACAAGTTGGTGTATGAAAGGAGTCTGGCCACGATGCTCGACACCATGCTACCAAACGTCAGCTATGAACAAAACATCAACGGGACTGTCTAAATTCAGGGCCCCTAAGAAGCTTGACAACAGCCCGCCTTCATATCAAGAATGAACGGCTGAGTGACAGCAGCTGAGTTACAATCTTCGATGAAGTTTTGTGGAATACCAGCCCGGTGATTGTTAAAGTTTAGACGGTGACATGCCGACGTGGACTCAAGAAAGAACTTCTGTGACGGTACTTCGAACTATACAGGGTAGTTTGACGTCTCGGTACACTCGACAACGAGATTGTCCTTGATGGCATCACGAACTCTCTATGGCAGTGTGCACCATCTGAAGACCTGTATACCACGTGCTTGTAACTTCACTCAACTTTTATTAAGGGGAGATGCGGGTCGAAAAACGAGTTTTTTCAAAATTACCGATTTTTAAATTTTTGCCTGTTTTGATAAGATTAATACATCTATTGTTATGAAAAAAAGATACAGGTCGAGACTTAACAGGAAATACTTAAAAATTGCATCTAAAGAGCACAAGGTGCCTGTTAAAAGGTCCAAAGTGTGCAGATTCGAGCACCTTGCCACCGATAATGCGCTGCCGCTCGCCACTGTTGATCCCATGAGCCGAAGAGTCGAGCCTCACTCTTCAAATAACAACAGTTTCCCTCGCTGATGCAGCGCAAGAAATAATAAAAAGAAGCACGCTTCTCCGCGTTTTTCGAGTGCCGCGACTGGCTTATCACGTGGTACGGACCGGGGGACCGCCATTGGCCACTGCGCGCCTGTATGTGCTGTGAAGCCTATTTGCGGGGTCCATGTCTTGTCGAGCAGCGCAGCTGAACAATGCTTTTCTCGTGTTCTTCTTCATTATGAATGCAAAAAGCCATTGCTCGCAAATGAAAGCCGTTGTGCGACGCGCTTTTGTAGGAATAGGCTACGAGCAGATGGTCCGATTTGCGGCAGTTGTTGGCTTGCAAAAGCCAATGCATCAAAAGTCATTCACACCCATCAGCCAGAAAGTTTGTGATGCGGCAATGGATGACGTCAGCGCCAATCTTGTGAGGTTGAAAGAGCTCGAAGTGAGGGAACTTAGAAGGGACGACATTGCCATTATGTACGACGATATGTGGCACAAGCATGGCCGCAAAATGGCATGACACTGGACTTAGTTTGAATTTTGCAGTCCTGTCGAACTTCTTCCTAGCTTGCAGTTGGCACATGGCTCTGCCAGATGGAGCGGAAGTTTGGCAAGTGTTTCATGGCCCTGTCTGTGAGCAAAATGTCTGTGAGGATTCGGCTCGAAAAAGCTGAGAGGGACAAACTTATGGTGCTGGCGTATTTTAGTGGCAGTGGCCACTACAAGAAGGATTGTTGTTTTTGGTTGTCAAATTTCATCAAATTTAATGATATCTTTCATAAATAAAAACCCAGAATTAACTTTAAAACTCGTTTTCTCAAAACAAAAATTATGCCATTTTTTTTCAAGGTGCCCCTCCTTTTTTCGGGCACTTTTAGTGCTTGGATCTGCATGACATTTTGCCCAATTTTTTTTCAAAATATGACAAATGCAATCATCTAGTTTAAATTTCAATATTTCATGGTATAATAAAAAAATTGTATGTAAACCGTTACTAAGGTAGGTGAAATATGGACTTTTTATGTCTATTACTTTTCACGCCTACTACATATTTTGTATGTGCTTTCTAATTAGTTATTTGCATTCTACACTTTATTTCAAACATTATGAACTATGAATGGTAAAAAATAACGGAAATTCAGGGATGAAAAGAGAGATGGAAAAAGGGTTAAGGTTTTCAATTTGTCATGTTGCAGAGCTAAAAGTTTGCAACTTGCAAGAAAACTAATTATATATTTGAAATCAGCATAAAAAATTCCATAAACAGCTCAAGTTTCATTGCTCTAGAGTTTATATTAAAACAAAGTGTCTTCGGGTAGCATCTCTCCTTAATAAAATTCTGATTCTGATTCATGTTGTGCACCTCAAGCCATTCCATGCGCATACCTAAGAACTGCATTCTTTATTGTTGTTTTCCTA